CAGGGAGCCCGATGCGGGACTCGATCCCAGGACCCTGGGATCATGACCTGAGCCGAAGGCAGATGCTTAACCGACTGAGCCACCCAGGCGTCCCAAGAAAAAAACATTTTTAAGTTTCTCCTTTATTCTTTCTACTGTACCTTTTTTCTACATTAAGAAAACATGTTTTAAATCAGTGACTGCTCTTTTTTTTTAAAAGATTTTATTTATTTGAGAGAGAGAGACAGAAAGCACGAGCAGGGGGAGGGGAGGGACAGAGGGAGAGGGAGAAGCAGACTCCCCTTTGAGTGGGGAGCCCAACGCGGGGCTCAGTTCTAGGACCCTAAGATCATGACTTGAGCTGAAGTCAGTTGCTTAACCTACTGAGCCACCCAGGTGCCCCATCAGTTTCTGCTCTCGAACCTCTATTAATTTTCTTATAATGCAACATTAAGAGCATTTCATTGTTTTTTATTTTTTATTCAGGCATAATTTACATACTGTCAAGTGCATATCTTAAATGTATAACTTAATGTTTGAGCCTCTATTTTTATTCTTTGAGAAGAGTGTAGCACAGAGTAATAAAAACCTTAACTAGACAGCTGGGTGTTTGTGTATGTGCACATCTGCATATATTTACATTTAAAATGTATACTTTTGTTTATGTTTACATTTCAAAAGCATTTAATGTTCAAAATTTCATTCTATTCTCCCTTTTAGGTATCGTAACAATTTGACTGCTGCCAAGAAAAATGAGTTGGTACAAAAGGTATGGATGGTAAAACTCTGTGTTAAATCATCAGTGTTTAAAAATTGAGTTTTGGATATATATGATCTACTGGGAGTAAGAAGGAAAGGGAGAATAGGTGATAATGAGAATTTTTTTTTTCTTTCCCAATAGACAAAATCAGAGTTCAATTTCAGCAGCAAGACCTATCAAGAATTTAATCACTATTTGACAGCCATGGTTGGTTGCCTGTGGACATCCAAACCTTTCCAGAAAGGATTATATATTGACCCTGAAGTCTTAGAAAAAACTGGAATAGCAGAGTATAAAAACAGTTTAAATTTAGTTCATCACCCTGCTCTATTGAATTATGCTGTTTCCTTTCTGCTACAGGTAAGGGCATTTAAAGGATTTTTAGATTTTATATAGGAATATTATAATAACAGAAATAGGAAATGCCGTAAATTTAGTGTGTCTGAATTGTAAGACGTGTTCAGTCATTCCTTTTTAAGTGTCAGCTAGATTTTGGGCATTTTGCTAGGTTCTGGAGATTCAAAGTTAATTTAAGTAAGTTTTGTGATGGCTATCTGCTTTACTGCTCTATTATTTAAATTTTATGTACAACTCTTAGTTGGGTTTTGACCTTATTAGCATAGTTAAAATAAGCTACTTATTTTGAAGTTAATGATCATATTCTCACCTGAATAACTGACTTTCATAAAGTGGATAAACAAGTGCATTTTGTGAAGATTTCAGCTGTATAACCAGTATAACACCAAATGAATTAATAGCTTCATTTTATCACCATTTAAAAACTTTTTTTTTTTTTTAAGATTTTATTTATTTATTTGACAGAGAGAGACACAGTGAGAGAGGGAACACAAGCAAGGGGGAGTGGGAGAGGGAGAAGCAGGCTTCCCGCAGAGCAGAGAGCCCGATATGGGACTCGATCCCAGGACCCTGGGACCATGACCTGAGCCGAAGGCAGTTGCTTAACAACTGAGCCACCCAGGCGCCCTCTAGATTTTCTTAAGCAAAAAGCAAAACCCAGACATCATTTCAGCTGTATAACCAGTATAACACCAAATGAATTAATAGCTTCATTTTATCACCATTTAAAAACTTTTTTTTTTTTTTAAGATTTTATTTATTTATTTGAGAGAGAGAGATGAGCGAGAGCACGAGCAGGGGAAAGACCAGAGGGAGAGGGAGAAGCAGACTCCCTGCCGAGCAGGGAGCCCAGTGCGGGACTTGATCCCAGGACCCTAGGATCACAACTGAGCTGAAGGCAGACACTTAACCAATTGAGCTAACCAGGTGCCCTAAAAACATTTTTAATTGAAATACAGTTGATGTGCAATATTTTATTAGTGTACAACATAGTGATTTGACAATTCTGTATATTGCACAGTACTAACCATGATAAATGTGGTTACCATTTATCACCAAAGTTACTGCTGTATTATTGACTATATTCCCTATGCTGTACTTTTCAACCCTGTGACTTATTCTATAACTGGAAGTTATTATACCTCCTAATCCCTAATCCCCTTCACCTGTTTTGCCCCCACCCCCACCTCCATCTCTTCTGGCAGCCATCAGTTTGTTCTCTGTATTTATGAGTCTGTTTCTGGTTTTTTGTTTCTTTATTCACTTGTTTTGTTTTTCCACATATAAGTGACATATAGTATTTGTCTTTCTGTGTCTGTCTTATAAAGAACCAATAGTTCTTAATATCTTTAAATATCTAATCAGCATTCAAATTCCCTATATTATCAGTCATAGTCTTACTTTATAAGTATAAGGATCCCTTAGCTTCAGTTGCACGTAGTTAGTGGTTAGCTTGGTTAGATTAGCTCCTACTTTTCTATGTGTTATCCTTTTAGTGATCTCTTACTTTGAGAGGAGCATGGTGAATAGAAGCTTTTTGGGAGTTGCCTGGAAATTGTTTTTAGTTCTTCATATTCATTATTGCAGTGTGTCCATAGATCATGTATGTCTGGTTACTTTTAGAAGGAAATGGAGCATTATGAGTAGTGAAAGCATCTTGTAAGGCTGTGCTTCTCAAAGTCAGGTCCCTGGACCAGTAGCATCAGCATCACTGGGAACTTGTTAGAGATGCAAAGTCGCAGGCCTTAACCTAGACCTACTGAAGTAAATTCTGGTAATCTATGTTTTAACAAAAGCTCTCATGATTTTGGTGCTAGCTAAAGTTTGAGAACCACGATCATAAATTAAATGTTTAGCCTCTTCAAACATCCCAATTCTATTAAGGATAGTATGTTTGAGTTTATAATCTTCGGGCAATTTGCAATGTAAGTCTTAAGGCACCCTGATATAGGAGCTTTACAATTTCTGTATTTCCAAAAATCCTAGGAGCCTTTTTAAATTAGTGTCCTAAATTTTGGGAGGGCATTTATTTATTTTTATTTAAATTCAATTAATTAACATGTATGTTAATTAGTTTCAGAGGTAGAGTTCAGTGATTCATCAGCCTTATATAGTACCCAGTGCTCATAACATCATGGGAGGGCATTTTAAAAGGAGCTTTGTTGGGTGTCTGGGTGGTTCAGTCTGTTGAGCATCTGCCTTCGGCTCGGGTCATGATCCAGGAGTCCCAGGATTGAGTCACGCGTTGGTCTCCCTGCTTGGCGGGGACTCTGCTTCTCCCTCTGCCCCTCACCCCACTTGTGCTCTCTCTCTCTCTCTTTCTCTCTCTCACTCTCTCACTCTCTTGCTTGCTCTTGCTCTCTCAAATAAAATTTTTTAAAAATCTTTAAAAAAATAAAAACTTTGTTTTCTAAAATTCTTAAGCAAATGGACATAAATGTAGATAACTTTAATGTCATAATATCATTTGGCATTTTTTAATACAGGGGTTTTTTTGGGTGCAAAATGGTGGTTTTATTACAGCACGGGGACAGGACCAGGGGGCAGAAAGAGCTGCTATCTATAATACAGTTCTTAGGTTCTCAGTAACTCCTTTTATTTTGGAGATACGGATGTAACGCCATGTCCCTCTCATGACCATATGCCACATGACTGTCAAAGAGGGACTAAATTGTAGTTGTAGATCACAAGGAGAGAAGGGTAGGAAACCATTCTCAGAAGTGGTTCTTCATTGGGCATTTTTGGTTGGTGCAGTGAATGGGAAGAGTGTGCTACCATTATTTAGTAGGTGGGAGCCAAGGATGGTAAACGTATTACTGTGGGTGGGGAGTAGGAGGCAATCCTGAATAGGGAATTGTTTCATCCAAAATGCCTCTGGTGTCCTGTGGAGAAAGACTTCAGAGGATGCTGTTCTGAGCCGTCATCACTGTTCAAATTATTTCAGACACATTTGCCTGGTGCTGCCAAAAATCATAGTTAATACATAGTTTGCAAATGGCCAGCTGACTATATGGATGCCCACCTATGTGAATGGTCTCCTAATCTTTCCCTGCTCACTCTGGCACTGAGCCATCACGGTGGTGGGTCGTGGTAGAGTCATCATTTCTCTGGCTCTAAGACTATATATGCTGTTCTTTATTTCTTGTGCATAACCACTGTTGGCTACCTAGATCAGAGGGTAAAGCTATGAAATCACATTTCTAGGTCTTTTCCTAATCCACTCAACAGTGGATTGAAGGACAGGGGTGAGTAGATGGATGAATTGAACCAGTTATACCCATGTGTGATTTAAAGAGACACAGTTCATTGATTTGGGAAGAATATGAAATATCCACATTTGGTTTTTAGTGGAAGATAGAAAGATGCCAAAAATTTTTCTAATTTAGTGTTAGGATTGAATTGAATTTCAGTTAAAGTGAAAATATTTTTAATAGCATTTCAGCTCAGGAATTCAGGTAAAACTGGGTCTTGATTTGTATACTCAGAAACTAATTTGCTAAATGCTGTGGTTCCTGGACATTGGTAATATTATCTAAAGTCTTTCTGGAGCATAATCCTTTATTTCTCTGGTATTTAGTAGAGTGGTTGCTGAGGATGTTCTGTGAATTGATCTTAATGATTCTCTGGAGACTGTGTAGTTTTATGGTTAATCACTGTGGTTTAAAAAAAAGTCAATTATACATTGGAGCACTGATCGTTTTCTGAAATCCTCAGCAACTTTTTGCTATGTATTATTTACCTCTAGCTTGGAAATTGTGAAAACGTTTGCTAATGTGTATCCGAATGTCACGATTTCTTATTGCAGAGAGACAACTTTAGGTGGATCCATGAACTCTGTGTCTGAACTGATTCAGTACGTGGGGCGGCTGTCCACTACTGCAATGCGCTTGGAAAACAACAGTACTTTCTTACTGCACTTTATTTTGGATTTCTATGAGAAGGTAGTACACATCCCATTTTTTTCTATTTAGATTTTTGTGATGGCTATCTGCTTTACTGCTCTATTATTTAAATTTTATGTACAACTCTTAGTTGGGTTTTGACCTTATTAGCATAGTTAAAATAAGCTACTTATTTTGAAGTTAATGATCATATTCTCACCTGAATAACTGACTTTCATAAAGTGGATAAACAAGTGCATTTTGTGAAGGTTCAGGAACTGCTTCAGTGGACATTCCTTGGAAGAATGCTGACCCTAGACAGAGTCTGTCTCTAGCATCACTTTTTGCTCATTCATTGTACATCCCAGACCCCTGGCAAAAAAAACAAAAAAAACACCCTGTTGTTTCTTCAGCTCTCCACTTCCACCTTTCAACCACCTTATTTCTCATAGTACCTATAATTCTGGTCTTCTTTGATTTTTTTTTTTTAAAGATTTTATTTATTTATTTGAGACAGAGAGAATGAGAGCGAGAGAGCACATGAGAGAGGGGAGGGTCAGAGGGAGAAGCAAGCTCCTTGCTGAGCAGGGAGCCCGACGCGGGACTCGATCCAGGGACTCCAGGATCATGACCTGAGCCGAAGGCAGTCGCTTAACCAACTGAGCCACTCAGGCGCCCTCTTTGATTGTTTTATAAACTATTTGATGTGGACAGAACTATTATCCTAGAAGTACCCACTAATCTCAGTTTTCCTGGCTTCCTCCCTGCACTACTTGTCTTGTGTTATATATTTACGCAGAAACATGCTCCTTTGTTTTCCAGGTTGACAGCTAACTAATATGATAAATCAATATTAATGGGACTTAAGGTGAAAGAAGTGCTCCCTTCCCCTTTCTTCCCAACTTGAAGATCTCTTCCCAGAAAAAAATAGAATATTTTAGTAATGACCTTGTAGAAATAATCCTCTATGGCAAGTGTGATGTTTAGTGAGGTACATTTTTAAGCAGGCTTGTGGCTACCTATTCTATTTATGAATTAGGCAGGCCCAAATTTTATGTTCTGTTATTGCTTATTCTCTATTGCTAATTCTTTGTGTGAACTTGGTTGAGGGCATCTGGGGAATAATCTATATACTGATGTTATCATTCTTCCCAAAAGGTGTGTGACATATATATAAATTACAACCTTCCATTAGTGGTGTTGTTTCCTCTGGGGATCTTCTATTCTGCTCTTCTCAGCCTAGATTCCAGTATCCTGAACCAGCTATGTTATATCATGCACAGGTACAAAGCATTTGTATTTTATAAATGAACACATCATACTTCTATCTTTGTTTTTCAACTGTACAGTAAATTATAATTTATAAATACACTATAATAAACTTATTGTATATAATATAATAAAATATTAAATACAATAAGGAACTATTTCCATTTTCTGCCAGAACCTATGGAAATAAGAAACATGTCTTTCTTTTGGTAATGACCTTCCAATATGGGGCTATTTTAACTGTGTTTTTGAGATATCACTGTGGGGGATATGGATTTTAAAAATTCATAGTTAATGGGAATAAAAGGCACAGCATAGGGAATATAGTCAGTGATATTGTAATAGCATTGTATGGTAACAGATGATAGCCACAGTGAGTGGTGAGCATAGTATAATGTATAGACTGTCAAATCACTGTGCTGTACACTTGAAACTAATGTAACATTGTATATCAGCTACACTCATTTTTAAAAATTAAAAAATATTCATAGTTAAAGAATCTTGTGCAGTGGTACTGATGCACTCAGCATTGTTCATTCTCATTGCTGTATCTTAAAGAAAAATTAGTCATTTGCTGACAACTGATTTGGGTCTACATAACTTCTCTGATAAAAAGAACATTTTCTGGGAGATTAGGGGAGCTATTGTCAATTTTATGAAACTAAGTATTATTTCTGATCCCCTCTAGTTTTTCATTTATAGGCTGAAATTACTCTTTTTAGTCCACAAGTGTTATAGACCCTTTTGGCAAAACTTGTAGGATTATGCCAAGGTTAGAATGTTTGTAAACTAATTAATAGTTCCCAGGCAAGAAAAAACATTTAAAGATTTTATTTATTTTTTTGTCAGAGAGAGAGAGCACAAGCAGGGGTAGCGGCAGGCAGAGCAGGTAGAGGGAGAAGCAGGCTC